TACAACGTTACTAATACACCAACATTCACTAAGTATTAACTAATACAACGATACTAATACACCAACACTGGCTAAGTATTAGTTAATACAACGGTACTAACACACCAACACTGGCTAAGTATTAGTTAATACAACGGTACTAACACACCAATACTGGCTAAGTATTAACTAATACAACGGTACTAATACACCAACACTAACTAAGTATTAAATAATACAACGTTACTAATACACCAACACTGGCTAAGTATTAACTAATACAACGTTACTAATACGCCAACACTGGCTAAGTATTAACTAATACAACGTTACTAATACACTAACACTGGCTAAGTATTAGCTAATACAAGGTTACTAATACACTAACACTGGCTAAGTATTAGCTAATACAACGTTACTAATACACTAACACTGGCTAAGTATTAGCTAATACAACGTTACTAATACACTAACACTGGCTAAGTTTAGTTTATATATAAAACACCTGAATCATAAGTCAAAAATATTGGCTCACATATAATACATCTGGACGACAAGTCTATATCGACCATAACCTGGATTGTAAGACAATGTTTGTCTATGTACACGATAACCTGGATGATGAGACAATAATGTTAGTCTATGTAGACGATAACCTAGATGATGAGAAAACAATGTTAGTCTATATCAACCATAATCTGGATGATGAGACAACAATGTTGGTCTATATTAACCATAACCTGGATTGTGAGACAATAATGTTAGTCTACATCGACCATAACCTGGAATATGAAACAATAATGTGTGGGGTATGTACACGATAACCTGGATTATGAGACAATAATGTTGGTCTATATACACGATAACCTGAATGATGAGACAATAATGTTAGTCTATGTAGACGATAACCTGGATTATGAGACAATAATGTTAGTCTATGTAGACGATATCCTGGATGATGAGACAATAATGTTAGTCTATGTAGACGATAACCTAGATGATGAGACAACAATGTTAGTCTATATCGACCATAATCTGGATGATGAGACAATAATGTTGGTCTATGTACACGATAACCTGGATTATGAGACAATAATGCTAGTCTATATACACGATAACCTGGATTATGAGACAATAATGTTAGTTTATATACACGATAGCCTGAATGATGAGACAACAATGTTAGTCTATATATACGATAACCTGGATGATGATACAATAATGTTAGTCTATATCGACCATGACCTGGATTATGAGACAATAATGTTAGTTTATATATACGATAACCTGGATTATGAGACAATAATGTTAGTCTATGTACAGGATAATCTGGATTATGAGACAACAATGTTAGTCTATATACACGATAAACTGGATTATGAGACAATAATGCTAGTCTATGTATACGATAACCTGATTGATGAGACAATAATGTTAGTCTATATCGACCATAACCTGGATTATGAGACAACAATGTTAGTCTATATAGACGACAACCTAATTGATGAGACAATAATGTTTGTCTATATCGACCATAACCTGGATTATGAGACAATAATGTTAGTTTATATATACGATAACCTGGATGATGAGACAATAATGCTAGTTTATATACACGATAACCTGAATGATGAGACAATAATGTTTGTCTATATCGACCATAATCTGGAACATGAGACAATAATGTTAGTCTATATATACGATAACCTGGATTACGAGACAATAATGTTAGTCTATATATATATACGATAACCTGGATTATGAGACAATAATGTTGGTCTATATATACGTTAATCTGGATTATGAGACAACAATGTTAGTCTATGTAGACGATAACCTGGATTATGAAACAATAATGTTAGTCTATATATACGATAACCTGATTGATGAGACAATAATGTTAGTCTATGTACACGATAACCTGAATTATGAGACAATAATGTTAGTCTATATATATACGATAACCTGGATTATGAGACAATAATGTTAGTCTATATACACGATAATCTGGATTATGAGACAACAATGTTAGTCTATGTAGACGATAACCTGGATTATGAAACAATAATGTTAGTCTATATATACGATAACCTGGATTTTGAGACAATAATGTTAGTTTATATATACGATAATCTGGAAGATGAGACACTGATGTCAGTCTATATCGATCATAATCTGGATGATGAGACAACAATGTTAGTCTATATCGATCATAATCTGGATGATGAGACAATAATGTTTGTCTATATACACGATAGCCTGAATGATGAGACAACAATGTTAGTCTATATCGATCATAATCTGGATGATGAGACAATAATGTTTGTCTCTATCGATCATAATCTGGAAGATGAGACAATAATGTCAGTCTATGTCGATCATAATCTGGATGATGAGTCAATAATGTTTGTCTATAGCGACCATAATCTGGAAGATGAGACAATAATGTCAGTCTATGTCGATCATAATCTGGATGATGAGACAACAATGTTAGTCTATATCGACCATAATCTGGATGATGAGACAACAATGTTAGTCTATATATACGATAACCTGGATGATGATACAATAATGTTAGTCTATGTAGACGATAACCTGGATGATGAGACAACAATGTTAGTCTATATATACGATAACCTGAATGATGAGACAAAAATGTTATTCTATTTCGATCATAATCTGGATGATGAGACAACAATGTTAGTCTATAGCGACCATAATCTGGATGTTACAATTTTATCTGATGATGAGACAGTCTGCTTCACTATTTTGACAAACATCAGGAAGATGAGATGTCCGATTTGTATTTTATTATTGATAATAATAATTTCACTTCGTTCACACTGATTGGAAGAGGTAATCAGATTAAACACGATAACTGATACATTAACTAGAAATGATCCTTCTTAGCCTATAATTTATCGCCCATCGAACGACCGAAACAGCGTCATTAAATAGTTGTAAATTCGTAAGGGGGACAACAGGACCGGTTACATCATAAACTAGAGGACACACTAGCTTCACATGCTAGATTTTTCTCCAGATACCGAGGTAAGAAAGGCACTGATTTGGGCCTATCTGATCTGACTGAGCAGTATCAAGATGTAACAGATATAGACAAGAAACTCGTTCGATTTCTTCTACTTAATCCAATTCACGTGAGAAAGAGAATGTTTAATCTTCCTGGAGCGTGACTTAAATCAGACCACCTACGGATGTAGTTACATACCTAAAAGGGGCGGGAATTAGTAAACTGCATCCGATTATTTTGGTATAAAAGGGCAGATTGTTCTTGGTTACAATAAGAGAAGCTGTCTCAGGATTACAACCCTACAGAGAGGCTACAGCTAAAGGAACATTACCAAGAATGTTGAAGGTAGACGTTCCTCGAGAAACTGTTTCATTACAAACTAATATTGTATCGACGAACCTATTCAAATCTCTGTTTGTTTGACTTACAGAGAAATTATCTAGATTTATTAGACGACATTTTGAGATGTTGATTGTTCATGAAACCCTATGTATATTAAATATATTGCTACTGTGACGTCATCGTGTATGCCATGTTTTCGAATAGGAATTGAGTAGATGTTTTTGTATTTTGGAATTGGTTTGTTTGTTTGTTTTTAATTATGCACAAAGCTACACAAGGGCTATCTGCGCTCTGCCCACCACGGGTATCGAAACCCGCTTTCTAGCGTTGTAAGTACGCAGACATACCGCTGTGCCACTAGGGAGCTTTGGAATTGGAGTTTGTTGATAGTTTAATTGTAATTACAAAATCTTATTTTCTCTTTAAAACATAAGTAGAACACGATCAATTTTTCTTAGCCCACTATTGTCGTTACTGTAGAGTTTTATTCCTCATTAATTAAAGATAAAGCTGCACAAGAGTTGTCTCTGTTGTGCCCATCACGGGCATCAGGCTTACCGCTGAGCCACTGGGGGACAGGAACTTTAGTGAAATTCATACATGTAATAATTATTACTTCACTATGTTAGAGGTATAAATGTCCAAGTGACAGAAGTACATGGCTTATATATATAATTATTTTACAAGAACTATGTTTCTTCTTAATAAGTATACGTTTTTTTTTCCAGATTGATTAAAATATTCTGCATATCACTGTCTCGATTTAGTTGATTTAGAGCCTCAAAAAACTGATCAAATCATCAGTTTTTCTGAACCAGCTAATAGGTTTTGTTTTCGGTTTCAGACCGTGGTGTTTATGACCCTTGTAGCCGGATCTTTTGCCGGATATCTTGTGGCTCCACAAGCTGTTGCCTCTGCGTATGTGAGTAAAATTCAATATTTAAATTTTACCGAAGACTAGCCAGAATATTTAAATCTGTACTCTTGTAAGAATCCACTCATTTCCGGAAAAAGTATTTTAAGCATAATTTCTGTTTTTACTAAGTGAATATTTATATATAGATATCATTGCTAGTATGTTTATCACTATGTGTATATATATATTGTTGCTTTTATAGTATTTTTATCACTATATATATGTATATATTGTTGCTTGTATAGTACATTTATCACTATATATATGTATATATTGTTATATATATATATATATATGTATCATTGTTAGTATATTTTTCATCTTTCTCTATCTATTGTTACATGGTTCCAAATCAAACTTTGACCTGTACATCAAAAATGATTTTCTTTTTGAATATAGTTATTTCATGTGTTGTTGAGAAAGAATTTAGTACACTCTTACTTATCTACATTAGTTTTTAACAATCGCCAGAAAATCATGTGCAGTGTAAAGCAAATGCCAGATATTATTGGGATTACGACCGAAAACGTCGTTAACAACGAGAGTACCCAATTGACGAAACTATTAATTTTAATCTTTATAAGTAATGGCAGTATATCTAATTAGCTATACTCGTTACTGTGTTGATTTTTAGTTTTAGTTTAAAATAGAAAGCTTGGTCTGGTCAAAAGTTAATATTATACACACGTTAAACTTTGGAGTTGCATGTTTACATCTATCCCTTAAAAATAAATGTGTATGCGAAACGTTTTCACTCAGGATGTTAACGTCCCCACGCCGTACGACAACGGTTACGATACAGTGGACGAATTTGGAACCAGGCTTACCCGCCAGGAGAGTGGAGACGGAGCAGGCAGAGTGCAAGGTTCCTATGGTTACGCCGACGCTCAGGGTATATGGCGTGATGTAAAGTACGTCGCCGATGAGGGCGGTTTCCGCGCCAGTGTTTCCACCAACGAACCTGGTACTGCCAACCAGAACCCCGCTGACGTCGAAGTTTCAGCTCAGGAGCCTCCTGCTGGAGTTCAGCCTGTCGTTGTACCTGCTCCTAAGGCCATTGTTCCTGCTGTAAGAAATGTCGCTGCTGTTCCTGTCGTCAAAAAGGTTGCCGCTCCTGCTTACTATGGAGGTTATTATGGAGCTGGTGTCGGGGCTCCCTACTACGGAGCTCGGGTTGGAGCCGCCTTGTACGGAGCTGGTGTCGGAGCTCCCTACTACGGAGCTGGTGTCGGGGCTCCCTACTACGGAGCTCGGGTTGGAGCCTCCTTGTACGGAGCTCGTGTCGGAGCTCCCTACTACGGAGGTCGCGTTGTCGGAGCTCCTTACTACGGAGGTCGCGTTGTCGGAGCTCCCTACTACTCTTCTGGATCTATCTGGCCAGCTGCTGGTAGATACGGACTACCCGCTCACCGTATCGTAAAAGTGCTTCATTAAGTAATCAGTAAAGAAATCACCGAGGAAATATTCAATCAGCCAAACCTGTATACGAAATCAACTCATCTTTACTGCATGATTAATACCTTTATTTGGTGCTTATTACCACCATTGCATGGGTTCTGCTAATTAAAGCTTTATGTGTTGTTGTTTATGAGCTACTTTAGATGCTTGGTTAAGACTCTGCTGTATTATTCCTATTGTTTTTCTGTGTGTGTCTGTAAATAGATAGTTTTATATATATTCAATAAAGGAAGAGTCACTACTGGACACAAAATGTTTCCTTTCGGATTATTCTTTGTGGGGTATTACAGATTTTTATTGCATCATTCTTTATTGGCCCGATATATATTTCCTGTAAAATATATATTAAAGCATTCCAACAGTGTACCCTAAGCCGCTGCCAACAAGGTTTTTCGATCGATACTAGAACTCGTCAGAATGCCTCATAATTTTCATTGTGATGTAATATACCGATCATCATGGTTCACCAGCGTGGACATTGTATACCACTAGTAATTGTCGTCATCAACAGTATCTTTTTTTTTTTATTGACGGTAACGTTACTAAGACTATCCATCCCTGCCTCTAATTGTGAACTTCCAACCAGTGAGAAGACAGACAGTCACCAGCATCCTATAATCCACCATCTAGGCTGAGAGATTGACTCTTACTCTTATAACAAGCCCACATGATCTCGCTCCATGATCAACATTAAGACTATCCGTCCCTGCCTCTAATTGTGAACTTCCAACCAGTGAGAAGACAGACAGTCACCAGCATCCTATAATCCACCATCTAGGCTGAGAGATTGACTCTTACTCTTATAACAAGCCCACATGATCTCGCTTCATGATCAACATCAAAGTTAACAAAATGACGCCAGTAGAGATTGGGCTTTATAACAATAACAAGATCCATATCAGAAACAAAGAGTTAACAATAAATTGATAACAAAAAGAGCAAACAACAACAACAACAACAAAATCATGATAGAGAATAATAATAAAAACATTTAATATTTAACTTAATAATACATTATTGGAGAACTTAGTTATTTGCTAGAGGGAGCTGCTAATCATCATGATGAAGCAATATCTAGAAAATTCACGATAATGTAATAATGATAAAGAAGTTTAGAGGAGTATGTAGAAATAAGGGTACATTACAAATACGAGAATCAGTGAAGTATTTAGTAGGTTCAGTTGTTAAGTACCAGAAGTTGGAGCTATCGAGTCTTTTCTGTTATCAGTTACTCGATTGATTAACCTTAGAATTCTACAAGTAAGATTATAAGTAAGCTTGGTTTACATTCATTTCAGATGTTATAATTAAGCGTGGCTCTAACAACGGTTATGAAAGAACTAAAACAATTCGTTATTGTTACGTGGACTGGACTCAACAATAGAACACTTTACAACAATATTAAAATATAATAAACAATGAAGTTAATAATACAACACATAAATGAAAACCAGCGTTAAAAACCTCTGTCAATAATAGTAATATTAAAGACTAGTAATAAAAACACAATAGATAATGATTTTGGTAATAAAAATATTGGAAACTGATAGAAAACAACAAGCTATGGAGTTAATAATACAAGATAGGAAAATACTTACATCAAACCAATGTTAATAATAATCAGATCAGAGACTATTAAAACAATGTTAGACAACGATGTTAATAATAATCAGATCAGATACTATTAAAATAATGTTAGACAAAGATGTTAATAATAATCAGATCAGAGACTATTAAAACAATGTTAGACAACGATGTTAATAATAATCAGATCAGATACTATTAAAACAATGTTAGACAAAGATGTTAATAATAATCAGATCAGAGACTATTAAAATAATGTTAGACAACGATGTTAATAATAATCAGATCAGAGACTATTAAAACAATGTTAAACAACGATGTTAATAATTAGAACATTGAAGACTAAAAATATGAAGTTGATAATAGAAACCGGAGACTTACATCAGAAACAACGATAAAAACTGATCTGAATAATAAGATTGAATCTGAGTAATATAATAATATCTGAATAGGAGACTAATATTAATAACAACAATGGAGACTGGTATTGATAACAACAATGGAGACTGGTATTAATAACAACAATGGAGACTGGTATTAATAACAACAATGGAGACTAGTATTAATAACAACAATGGAGACTGGTATTAATAACAACAATGGAGACTGGTATTAATAACAACAATGGAGACTGGTATTAATAACAACAATGGAGACTGGTATTAAAAACAAAAATGGAGACTGGTATTAATAACAACAATGGAGACTGGTATTAATAAAAACAATGGAGACTGGTATTAATAACAACAATAGAGACTGGTATTAATAACAACAATGGAGAGTGGTATTAATAATAACAATGGAGACTGGTATTAATAACAACGATAGAGACTGGTATTAATAACAACAATGGAGACTGGTATTAATAACAACAATGGAGACTGGTATTAATAACAACGATAGAGACTGGTATTAATAACAACAATGGAGACTGGTATTAATAACAACAATGGAGATTGGTATTAATAACAACAATGGAGACTGGTATTAATAACAACGATAGATATCTATATTGATATAATTAACATATCAATATCTGAGAAACGATTCGACTGAATAACGAGGTCGAAGAAAGACATTACGGTATAAGCGCTTTCAAGGATTGTAAAACACGTTAATGTAACATAAACGTGAAGAGTTTGGCCTTCCCTCATTATCCATAAATCTACATTAAACATTTGGTCTGAACTTTATTTAATATTTTCAAGTTTCACAAACAATCCTACGTTTAAGGAGTTCCAGATTCCTTTTAATGTAACATAAACGTGAAGAATTTGGTCTTCCCTGATTATCCAGACTGGCAAATCAGGTTATAATTTCATATTTCTTATAGAAACCTCTAGAGTTCTTTACGTTCACAGTTGAAGTAAGATAATAATGGTAATGTTATTATTTAATAAGTATAACATACAGTGTAGCTTATATGTTTTATCACTGCTCGTACCTATATGTAAACAGGGTGAGTATTGTGTATTAGCCAATCATCTCTTTGATATTTCTATTCGAAGGCTATATGTAAACAGGGTGAGTATTGTGTATTAGCCAATCATCTCTTTGATATTTCTATTCGAAGGCTATATGTAAACAGGGAGAGGCTATATGTAAACAGGGAGAGTATTGTGTATTAGCCAATCATCTCTTTGATATTTCTATTCGAAGGCTATATGTAAACAGGGAGAGTATTGTGTATTAGCCAATCATCTCTTTGATATTTCTATTCGAAGGTTCGAGTAGAAATATCAAAGAGATGATTGGCTAATACACAAATATACTTCAGAAGATTCCGTCGATAAAAAAGAAGATCGAACTTGCTAAACTTTGCTTTCCCTTGATATTAGGCTTAATCAAACACGAACAAGAAACGAATATTCAGTCTTTAGATTTATTCTATATTGGTACTGGTAGTGTTTTAGTAATTATTTTATGATATCCAGTTTTTATTTAATCATTCACCAGATGCCGTAATATGTGGGATTTTTATTCTTAGAAATCCATTTAACGTGCATTGTTTCGTATTTTCAAAAGTGTTAAATATTTAACATACACAGGAGACCGTGCGATCTTTGATTTAATAAACAGATGAAACAAAATGTTTTTTAGAATTGTTTCTATGTGTTAAAATCTGTTTAACTTCTGAAACACATTTTGAACACGGATAAGGGTATAATATAATTACCATCTTTATCATAATAACACGGATATGGGTATAATATAATTACCATCTTTATCATAATAACACGGTAATGGGTATAATATAATTACCATCTTTACCATAATAACACGGATAAGGGTATAATATAATTACCATCTTTATCATAATAACACGGATATGGGTATAATATAATTACCATCTTTATCATAATAGCACGGATAAGGGTATAATATAATTACCATCTTTACCATAATAACACGAATAAGGGTATAATATAATTACCATCTTTATCATAATAACACGGCTATGGGTATAATATAATTACCATCTTTATCATAATAACAGGGATAAGGGTATAATATAATTACCATCTATATCATAGTAACACAGATAAGGATATCATATAATTACCATCTTTATCATAATAACACGGATAACTACCTTGAACATTATTTAAGAACTAACTATAAATAAAGATTTTAAGAAACTACTTTGAACATTATATAAGAACTAACTATAAACAACGGTTTTAAGAAAGTATCTTGAACATTATATAAGAACTAACTATAAACAACGGTTTTAAGAAACTACCTTGAACATTATATAAGAACTAATTATAAACAACGGTTTTAAGAAACTACTTGGAATATTATATAAGAACTAATTATAAACAACGGTTTTAAGAAACTACTTGGAACATTATATAAGAACTAATTATAAACAACGGTTTTAAGAAACTACTTGGAACATTATATAAGAACTATTTATAAACAACGGGTTTAAGAAACTACTTGGAACATTATATTAGAACTAATTATAAACAACGGTTTTAAGAAACTACTTGGAACATTATATAAGAACTAACTATAAATAACGGTTTTAAGAAAGTACCTTGAACATTATATAAGAACTAATTATAAACAACGGTTTTAAGAAACTACTTGGAACATTATATAAGAATTAATTATAAACAATGGTTTTAAGAAACTACTTGGAACATTATATAAGAACTAATTATAAACAACGGTTTTAAGAAACTACTTTGAACATTATATAAGAACTAATTATAAACAACGGTTTTAAGAAACTACTTGGAACATTATATAAGAACTAATTATAAACAACGGTTTTAAGAAACTACTTGGAACATTATATAAGTACTAACTGTAAACAACAGTTTTAAGAAACTACTTGGAACATTATATAAGAACTAACTACAAATAACGGTTTTAAGAAACTACTTGGAACATTATATAAGAACCAACTATAAATAACGGTTTTAAGAAACTACCTTGAAACATTAAAAACTATAGACAACTGTTTTCGAAAGTAACTTTAGCATAATTTCCAAACCTTAAAGAAGAATTTCCGAAACTACCTTGAATATTATTTACCAACTACAATAACAGTTTTCGAAATTACAACAACAATAAATCATGATT